GGGCGAGTCCCAGTTGTTCTCACTGGGCACTCAGACGCTTCTTGGGCAGACGACCAGGCTACTCAGCGGTCGTCTCAGGGTTACTCCTTCAGTCTTGGCTCTGGTTCTGTTTCTTGGCGTTCTACTCGCTCTTCTTCTGTTCTCAGCTCCAGTTGTGAGGCTGAGATCTACGCCACAGCCATGGCGGCCCAGGAGCTACGCTGGCTCACCTACTTGCTGACCGACCTTGGAGAGCAGCCTCGTTCTCCTCCAGTGCTGTACGTCGACAACAAGGCAGCCATTGCCTTGTGTGAGGAGCACAGACTGGAGCACAGAACGAAGCACATTGCTCTGCGTTACTTCCTCGCTCGAGAGCTGCAGCAGCGTGGTCAGCTTCGCCTGCGTTACGTGGCCTCTGAGGCCAACACTGCTGATGTGTTCACCAAGGCGCTTCAGCCTTGTGACCATCAGCGCTTTTGCACTCTTCTAGGCCTTGTGCCTACTGGACCTCACTTGCTTACTTCTTGAGTCTGTTGTACTGTGATCTCTATATATAAACCTGCATGTGAACTGGTCTTGTGACCACTTGCTTGTGCTCGGAATTTGTGTGGTATCCTTGAGATCCACCCTGAGCTTGTTTTGCCTTGCTTTGCCTTGACTGGTCTTGTGACCCCTAGTTCTCCCCCACTTTGCCTATGGGGGTGTGTCAAACATTATATATGTTGTGTTAGTTTAGGCTACAGTGGGTTAGCCTATAGGGGGTACACAATTCTAGGGTTAGGTACTTGTACTCTTTTCATTGCTAGTTCATCCATTCCTGTTCAGTGATTCCAACATGGTATAGAGCAGGTCCTTCCTAGCAGCAGGTCCTTCCTGTTCTCTGTTGCTGCCGATGTTGTCTCTGCTGCTGCCGATGTTGTCTCTGCTGCTGCCGGTGTTGTCTCTGCTGCTGCCGGTGTTGTCTCTGCTGCCGCCAAGTGTTGAATCGTTGCTAATGCTCTTGTTCGTTCTGTTTCAGGTATGGTATGTGAATACCAGAATCCGCCGGGGCTGAAGTTAGGATCAAGGTCCGGTACGCGTGTCCAAGAGGTGAAGGTCACGATTCCATCGCTGTCGGCGGTGCCAAGGTCTGGAACGAAGTCGAGGACGAAGACGTTGTTTTTCAACACTGCCTTTCCGATGTAGAGTCCGCCTTTCCCGTGATACAGCTTGAACTCCTAGGTGGTGCTGTCTGCTTCGATATGAATGCCTTTCGCCATTAGCTGACTGACACTCAGTAAGTTGTAGCCGAGTCCCTCCGCGATTAAGATCTTTGACATTTGTGGGATCACGTTTGTTTCTGTTGACTGAAATTGAACAACGCCTTGCAGTCGTGTGCGCAGGTTCTGGTTGTTGGCGACGGTGATGACGACTTCGCGTTGAAGTTGATATTCTCGTTGAACGAAGCGACCCGAGGAGCACATATGTTGTCCGCAGCAGCTGTCCAAGAACCAGGTGTCTTTCCCGGACGGTTCGCTCTGGGCGATGGCTGCGTATGTCGGGTTCGGCTCCAATGTCTCGCGGCGAGGAGTGCTTTCGTCAAGTTGTTCTTCTGATGAGTAATGCCGTGGTGACTCAGTGATGCAGGAGTCTGACAGTCTTGCCATGCAGCTCACGATGTTTCTTGCTCCTTGTGCAGGTTGTGTCGGTGATGTAGTTGAAGACTGCGTCTGACTCGTGAGGTGCGCTTGTGTGGATGCTACTTGGCTGCTTGAAGGGCGAAGTTGACGTTGCGGCGCTGTTGGCTGCTGTCGATTCGGGCAGTGTGTGCGAGGGTGTCCTGATGTCTTGCAAATATGACAGAATGGAGGTACGGGTTTTGGTTGGTGCCGGTTGTTGTTGTTGTTGTAGCGCCGTTGAGTGTGGAATGCAAATTCGGGCACTGACGTTTTCTTCTTGTGCCGCTCCTCCTACAGCTCCATGTCTTGCTGCTCAGCGTGAATCTCGGCGCAGAGTGCTGCTTTGGAGATTTTTCCGTGGGCTCGGAGAATGGCTCGGGTGGAGCGCCATTGAGGACCGAGGCCGCCGATGATGACTGTCACGAAGGCGTCTTCAGATATTGAGCCTCCGCATCGAAGAAGTTCATCGCGCAATTCGCGACAACGGCTGATATACGCCATTCCCTTTTTGCCAGGCTTCATTTCCACTGTTGTCAGCTGTGCCATTAGACGACTCTGATTGACGCTGTCTGTTGCTTGATACAGGTTCTTCAAGTGGTTGTACGCAAGCTCGGCGGAGTTGCCGTATCCCCGATAGGACCGGATGTTCTGCTGCTGGTTCGGTGTGATGTTGCGCAGTAGAATTGTGTACGCCATCATGGACTGATATGTGTACTGCTGCTTGTCATATTGCGTCCCGTGTGTTGGATATGGCAGGGACCCGTTGAAGAATCCAAGGATTTGCGCGCCTTCTATCATCAGCTCGAACTCGAATGACCAGGTAAAGAAATCTTTACCGTCGAATGGCCTTGACGTTTGCATTTTTAAGACGTGTGCAAACTGCGACTGAACTTGAAGTGCATCCAATGTGTTCTCTTGCTCAGGTGAAGGCTGTTGGCGCGGCATGAAGCTGACGAATCCACGCTGGGGTTCGTATGGGGCGAAGGTAGGCTACTGTTGCTGATTTCCTCGCGCGTAAGATGAGCCGTCGAGGCTCATCGGTGTCACATCGTTGTTGTTGTTGCTAATGTTTGACTGCGCCGGTGCCCCTTGTTGGTGTTGTTCGTAGAAGGACATGAAGGAGAAGAACTTCTCCATCATGCTTGGGTCGAAGCCTGCAGGTTGATTCGCAGGAGTTTCAGTAAACCCTGCTGCTGGTCTTGTTGCCGTGCCCTCCTCCGTCTGTAGGCCAGAGGCAGGAGGTGGAGTAGGAGTAGTACTGGGAGAGCCGTTAGAGGAGCTTCTCTCCTTCTGCGTTGCCATGCCTTTTGATGATGTAGGTGTCTTGGAAGTAGTTGAGTTTGCCCTGATAGCTCTCATACCATGTTGGGCTGAGAAAAGCCCTTAGGATCTTTGCAGGACTAAACTCTGGGTAGAGATGTTGTAGCTACGGAAGCGTTTTTAATAAGAGTGTTGAACCACCTTGCGCTAGTATGTGAGGGCAAAGTAGATTAGTTAAAGCAAAGAGATACAAGGCTTTTATAAGAGTACAATGAATATGAAGAGTTACAACTGATAACTGTTTTACTGTTGCTGTTTGCGGTTCGATACAGCGACGACTCGGGCAACTGCTCTGTATCGAGTCAGTTGTTTGTCCTTGCTGTCGCGCTGTATTTGTCAAGTCAAAGGTCGCTGACCTTTGACCTTCACGTAACCTCCAGCGGTTGCTTCAGTTGTCAACCTCCGATGGTTGACTCGCTGATGTTTCGTTTGTGCTTCGCTTCGTTTAAGGCTTGATGTTTCGACACAGCAGAAGCGCTTAAATCACATGTTTCCAACAATTATAAGCCCCCAATGAATTCGACACTCGAGATAGCGTCGGCAAAGTAGTGTATTCTGGTGCCCCTACTCGAGCAGTTTTATCCGGAGGAAATCGTTAGTGCTGGCCTGTACACACGTGGGTGTATCGAAAAGATTTTCGATGAAGTTTCGTTCCGATAACCTTTCATTCAGGCTGGCGGAAACCCCTGTATAACCAGTTTCAGAGTGGATCCCCACAAGTCTGAGGCTCAGCCTACACTACTATGACCAGGCCCTCAGATATCAGCGTAAAACACGCTGATTAGGCTGATTTTGTAGCTGTGATTTTCGTTTTCCCTGAAATTTCAGTATCTTCTTTATATTTGCACTGATTTTTCAGTTTAAAGTGTGGGACTACCCTGACGAATTAGTGTATTGGTGTACCAGTTACACTGAACCATCAGTATAGTGTACCGAGTCACACTGATTCGGACTTACCAAAATGCATAGGGTTCAGGACATGAGTGCGCGGATGTGGGGCTTCACGCCAAAACGTCGCCACCCACTAGTTAACCTCTCATTCACCGGACTTGAACCCGCGACCTCTCTGAATACAGGACGAAACCTTAGACAGCTACGTTAGAAGTACTGGTTAAGAATTTCAAATAGAATTTATACAATGATAAATCAGTTAGCCATGAAATTTTACTCTGACAAAATCAGCATAAACTTCATCCCCAACGCTGATTTGGTCACTACTTTGGGCAGGGCACGCTGATCCATCAGCATGCCCTGAAAACAATCTGAGGGCCTGACTATGACTACTCTGAAATTTCAGACAAGTCAGTTAAAAAAACTCTGAAAAATCAGACAGGGTGCATAAAAAAATTCTTTGAGTTCAAACTAGGTACAAAAAAAAAGTCTGAAGGGACTCTGAATCAGACTCCAAAGTCTGATATCTAGGGCCCTGGACTGTATCACCAAAGAACGACGATTTTGTGCATTCTTGATTGGTAGAAGCCTCAACAGGGTTGACAGGCGAAGGTACTGGCATACGCTTGTGCACCAGCTTTATATTGAGATGCCTAAGAAGCTTTATATTGGGATGCAGTCTACCTAACATCCAAACAGATGAGCTAAACCTCATTACACATGACGACCGTGGTCGAACACAACTACAATATGCCAGTCTTACAAATGCAGGCCAGGCCATACACTGGCTGCAGGCTTCAATCAGGAGGGCACACAGAGCTCAACGGGACCACCATTGCTGCCACCGACAGTCCCCGCACACGGGCGGTTGTACTTCTCATACAGCTCCGTGCTTCCTCTGAATGCCCTGCCGATCACACTGCTGCATGACGCCGATGCCTTGAACAGCCGTGGTCTTCCCTTGGTACAGCTTCCGTAATCATCATGTTGCGTCGCCTTTGTACATATATCGGGCCAACGAGCCTGCTGATTGCGGATGGTCACATGTGAATGAGAAGCGCGATTGAACCAAAACACTTGAAAACGGGAAAGTACATATTAAATACTGATCAAAACTACGCGCAATGCTTCATGCAACCTCTTCCGACTCACCTCCCGACCGGCATGCAGTGAGCTGTAGCACACGAGCCCTGGGTTCAGCCGGTAGAGCTCCACCAAGGATCCCAGCTGACGGCCCTCCACCACTGCACTGCAGCTGCTCGTGCCGCTGACTAGGGAGAGTGAATTGCAACGCTGCTCCCCAATCCCCACCATCCCATCGTCCCGCTCGATGCAGAGAGAGCGGGAGGGATTGAGGGGCGAGGAGCAGACGGAGCCGGGGTTGAGGAGCGGCAGGGAGGAGGAGGAGAGGCCGAGAGAAGCTGCCACTGACTCGCATGTGTCGCCCTACATTGGGGATGAGGGAATGGATGGGAGGGGGGGGGAGGGGGAGGGGGGGGAGAGGGGGGAGGAGGGGGGGTTTGGGAGGGAGGGGGTTGGGTTGTGGTAGGATTGGAGGGATAAAGCAAGTCAGCTTGAAGTTGAAATGTTATACAGAAGAACAAGGCATGGGTGCGTGGATGCAAGGAGTACCAGCAAAATCCAGAGAGCAACCATCAGAAAAAGCATCAATTAAGGTAATAACCACGAAGAACTACTAGGGAGTCACAACCGAGATGCAGAACTAGCAGCTAGACCTGCTAGCACAGAGCTGATGAGAGGGGACAAGATAGTTACCGATTGAATGAAGTAGAAGACAGAACAGGAGGCCAGGTCGTCCCTCTCAGTCACGTTGAGCGTTTGACCCCGGGTGAGGGCAGTAGAGCAGTCCACGGCCTGCCAGCCAGCACACACGCACACAGAAAGGTGAGTGGCATTGACGGTATAAGAGAACCTCACACTGCAACAAATTACTTGTAAAACCCTCACATTGTTCTGTGCAGTAAACTCCTCCTGAGTGAGTCCATAAAGAGGATACACGTCCTCACACCTCCAGTTGTCCCCTTGCACCTTCAGCGTTGACGAAGGCTCCAAATATCCTGCGCAAGAGCAATGCCAACGAGAAAGACCCAAAACACCCTTGCATTTAGAACAGTTTTGAAAAATCCCGCTTGCCCTTAGTGCACCACTCTGGTTAAAAGGAAAAAAGGAGAGTGGAAGTGCTGGGTTTCGTCCTTCGATAGATCCAATGTCCCTCACACACGGTGACGAGAATGTGCCAGAACAGAAGGGCAGTCTGTGTGGCAAGCGCTTGAAATGAGAGGGGCAGCAAGCTTACTGTATTTACAGGTGGGGTATCCGTTGGTTCTGGTGTCTGGGACATGCAAGGGCGGGCAGACACAGGAGTAGGAGCCGGGGCCACCGCTGATGCACGAACCAGACTTGCAGGGGTTCCTGGTGCTGTTGCCACACACATCCGCTGGTGGGGGTGGCGGGGGGAGGCAACAGTTTTGCTTATGAGGTACCTTAAGAATACAACCAGCCTTGCAGGGGTTCCTGGTGCTGTTGCCACACACATCCGCTGGTGGGGTTGGTGGGGGTAGGGAACTAGTCGTTCATTGAAGCGTTTCAGAAACATAGCCCATCTTGCAGGAGTCTCTGGCAGGAATCTGTTTCAGGAGTCTCTAAGACTCCGAGAACCGTTGCCACACACGTCCACTGTTGGTGTTGGTGGGGGGAGGGGAAGAAGACAAGCACATACATCGAAGTGGGTCAGCAAGCGGGTGGCTGTGTGAGAGGGGATAAAATCGTGCGAAGGGGAGCGTGACAAGGTGCAAGCAATCAGGCGCAGTGGATGCAACTGAGCGAGGAATGCTCAGGTTTGATCAACACGAAACTAAGTACATCGCTTACGCAGTGAAATTTGGATATGCTTACAGACTGTTGGCGAGGGTGTGGGTTCTGGAGGACAGTAATACCCTTTAAACTTTTAAAGGCCATGCATGAGCCGTCCGGGCTTCAAGTGCCGCCCTTGCAGAAACATGCCACTCCCCTTTGGTCCGTTTTTGCAGCTTGCTAGCACTAGGGGCATCTAGATTCTCCCATGAGGAGGAATGTGAATGCTTACTGTCTGTTGGTGAGGGTGCGGGTTCAGGAGCAGTATAGTACTCCTCATCGACCATGCATGAGCTGTCAGGGCTGCGGGTGCCGCCCTCGCAGACACACGCCACTCCCCTGCGGTCCGTTGTTGCAGCACATGAGAAGTTGGTGGGGCACACTGCATGCCCACAGATGTCCTCTGGAGCACCGGCAGTGAGGAGGAGAGGGGAGGGAGATGGGGTAAGAGGGGGAGATTGTGGTGGTGGGGGGGGGGTGGGGGGGGGGAGGGGGGGGACGGGAGATGGGGTGATATTGAGTTGGAAACAACGGGTCACTTCACTGCGGTTCGTGGTTGCAGCACATGAGAAGTTGGCAGGGCACACTGCATACTGGCATATGTCCTCTGGAGCATGGGCAGTGCGGGGATGGGATGGGGGAGAGGGGGAGGAGGGAAGGCGGAGAGAGGAGTGAGGCACACCGCGTATTGGCAGATGGCCTTTGGAGCATGGGCGGTGGGGTGAAGGGATGGGGGAGGGGGGGAGCGGGGGAGGGGGGAGGCGGAGGGAGGAGTGAGGCCACCGTGTACTGGCAGATGTCCTCTGGACCGGCAGTGAGGGGGAGGTGGGGTGGGTGTGTGAGGGAGATTGGGGGCGGAGGGAGATTGGAGGGGACAGGGGGATATGGGGGGATTTTGATTTGGAAACTAAGGTCCACTTGCCTGCGGTCTGTGGTTGCGGAGAAACGAACAGCAGAGAGGAAGAGAGCAAGGGAGGCAGCAAGACGAGAGGAGAAGAGACGACAGGAGGGACTAGAGAAGAGATGAGACGCAAAAAGAGGCGAGATGAAGAGAAAACACTCGAGATGAATGAAGGAATGCCTGGAGGGAGCAGTGGAACAAAAAAAACGCAGCAGGCAGCAGGGGCGAGAGCAGCAGGAGCGAGAGCAGCAGGAGCGAGAGCAGCAGGAGCGAGAGCAGCAGGAGCGAGAGCAGCAGGAGCGAGAGCAGCAGGAGCGAGAGCAGCAGGAGCGAGAGCAGCAGGAGCGAGAGCAGCAGGAGCGAGAGCAGCAGGAGCGAAAGCAGCAGGAGCGAAAGCAGCAGGAGCGAAAGCAGCAGGAGCGAAAGCAGCAGGAGCGAGAGCAGCAGGAGCGAAAGCAGCAGGAACGAAAGCAGCAGGAGCGAAAGCAGCAGGAGCGAAAGCAGCAGGAACGAAAGCAGCAGGAGCGAAAGCAGCAGGAGCGAAAGCAGCAGGAGCGAAAGCAGCAGGAGCGAAAGCAGCAGGAGCGAAAGCAGCAGGAACGAGAGCAGCAGGAGCGAAAGCAGCAGGAACGAAAGCAGCAGGAGCGAAAGCAGCAGGAGCGAAAGCAGCAGGAGCGAAAGCAGCAGGAGCGAAAGCAGCAGGAGCGAAAGCAGCAGGAGCGAAAGCAGCAGGAGCGAAAGCAGCAGGAGCGAAAGCAGCAGGAACAAAAGCAGCAGGAGCGAAAGCAGCAGGAGCGAAAGCAGCAGGAGCAAAAGCAGCAGGAACGAAAGCAGCAGGCACGCACCGATGATGCAGCGAACGGACTTGGGTGGCTTGGCAATCTTCTTACCCCTGCTCACAGGCACAGAGGGATCACGCTGCAGTCATCAGTCACCTGGTAGTGGAATATCAACGTGCAGGAGATGCAGAGATGCAGGGAAGCAGGGAGGCAGGGAAGCAGGGAAGCAGGGAAGCAGGGAACCAGAGATGCAGAGATGCAGAGATGCAGAAATGCAGAGATGCAGAGATGCAGGGAAGCAGGGGCCACAAGCTCACCCCTGACTGCCTCGCACCAGAGTGTTCAGTGCCCTTCGTTTGCACCCGGGCTTGGAGAAGAACTGAATCTTCCAGCAATCAGCATCTGCATCTGGGCGCGTCCACGCCACCTGCACCTTCTTGCTGCCCCGGGCGCTCTTGGCTGGGATGTCGACGCAACGCAGCGAGCTGAAGGTGATCGCGCGGCCGTTGATGCTCACCCGCGTGCCCACCTGCAGCTGCGCGTCCGAGTTCTTGTCTCCGGCTGCTCCTGGTAATCATAGGGTTGAAGGGTAAGGAGCGTTGGAACAAAGAGTGTGGGAGCATGGAGTGTGGGAGTACGGGGCGCGGGAGCAAGGGGCGCGGGAGCAAGGAGCGTGGGAGTAAGGAGCGTGGGAGTAAGGAGCGTGGGAGTAAGGAGCGTGGGAGTAAGGAGCGTGGGAGTAAGAAGCGTGGGAGTAAGGAGCGTGGGAGTAAGGAGCGTGGGAGTAAGGAGCGTGGGAGTAAGGAGCGTGGGAGTAAGGAGCGTGGGAGTAAGGAGCGTGGGAGTAAGGAGCGTGGGAGTAAGGAGCGTGGGAGTAAGGAGCGTGGGAGTAAGGAGCGTGGGAGTAAGGAGCGTGGGAGTAAGGAGCGTGGGAGTAAGGAGCGTGGGAGTAAGGAGCGTGGGAGTAAGGAGCGTGGGAGTAAGGAGCGCGGGAGTAAGGAGCGTGGGAGTAAGGAGCGTGGGGGTAAGGAGCGTGGGAGTAAGGAGCGTGGGAGTAAGGAGCGTGGGAGTAAGAAGCGTGGGAGTAAGGAGCGTGGGAGTAAGGAGCGTGGGAGTAAGGAGCGTGGGAGTAAGGAGCGTGGGAGTAAGGAGCGTGGGAGTAAGGAGCGTGGGAGTAAGGAGCGTGGGAGTAAGGAGCGTGGGAGTAAGGAGCGTGGGAGTAAGGAGCGTGGGAATAAGGAGCGTGGGAGTAAGGAGCGTGGGAGTAAGGAGCGTGGGAGTAAGGAGCGTGGGAGTAAGGAGCGTGGGAGTAAGGAGCGTGGGAGTAAGGAGCGTGGGTGTAAGGAGCGTGGGTGTAAGGAGAGTGGGTGTAAGAGCGTGGGAGCAAGGAACAGAGGCGCACCAGCGGCAATGAGGGGCAGCGCAATCAGCGCCAGCACGGCATGAACACTCCCGCCGCCCCCCATGTGCCGTGACGCCGGCGGCCACGCGCATCGGGAAGAAGAATCGACGGGCAATGTTATGGGTCGCGAGACTCGCGCATGATGCGGTTTTCTCGGAGCAGCGGGTGTTTGCGGAGGGGGGGTTGCAGGGCAGGGCTGCGGGGCAGAGGGGGCTGCGGGGCAGAGGGGGCTGCGGGGCAGAGGGGGCTGCGGGGCAGAGGGGGCTGCGGGGCAGAGGGGGCTGCGGGGCAGAGGGGGCTGCGGGGCAGAGGGGGCTGCGGGGCAGAGGGGGGTTGGAGCAGAGGGGGGTTGCGGAGCAGACTACGATCGACTGTTAAGAATGTGGAATTGCGGACGGTTTTCAGAAGCTGGGAACCGTAAGCTGCTACACTACACGTGGTGTCGGGAAAAGAGAGGGAGTGAACTGAGTTTGGGCGAGACGACACCGTAAGGTTATCAGTGTCCTGACGGCACAATCCAAAATCCAATGACAGCGAAGGCGACGCGGCGGAGGAAGCGAAGGCGACGCGCGGAGGAAGCGAAGGCGACGCGCGGAGGAAGCGAAGGCGATGGGCTGGGGAAGCGAAGGCGACGACGCGGGCGACGGACAGGCGACGTGGGAGCTGGGGAAAGAAAAGCGACGGCGTTTGGAGGTTGCTGTAGCCGAGCCCAAACCTGTAAAAACACCGAACCAATTACCAGCACATCGGTTGGGTTGGGTTCCGCGGTTTTGCTTCTGCCGAAACCGCAATTGCGGTTTTCTGGACTGGATAAGTTTCTCACAGCGCACAACCTCACCGTGAGAGACAAGATTGTGACACACAGCAGGCATGGCAGATCAACAGACCAAGTCCCAAGAAGGCGAAAGGACGAGCTTGTGAAGCTAAAATAAAGGTTTCCGCGAAAATACGCGAAATCAGCGTCATTCCTCCCGCGTTTTTTTTTTCGGAAATTCTCTCATCGTTTTTCAGATTTTCTATCCTTGGATCCCCCCTTCCGTCCTTGTCATACACCCATCCTCGATCGACTGTCGCCGAAGCGCCGTAGCAGTACCACTGTTAGCATCCTTTGAAAGTATCATCTGTCTGAGAATGGTCGTGGAAAGTTGTGCGGATGAGTTAGCTGAAGCTGTAAAAGGGCTGTTTGGATTTTTGAGAGGGGAGTTAGCAGAAGTGAAGGGGGAACTGGCCGAAGTGAAATGGGAGTTGGCAGCCGTGAGAGAGAAGCTTTTTTGGCAGAGTGACCGAGCGTTGGAGCTGGAGGCGGAAAACAAAGTTATTGGCGTCGAAGTGGCTGATTTACGGGAAGCGTTAGGCGTTTTGCAGAAGTCGAATGAGGCGACTCGTGATGTGGTGGAGGAGAGGGAGAGAGAGCTGGCAGCAGTGAAAGGGGAGTTGGCTAATCATAAGCGGCAAAGTGAGGCGCTCCGCCTGCAACTGGAAGCGACGAAGAAGGATTTTGATGAGGCTGAGAGGAGAAGAGAAGAGAAGCCGACGTGAGACAGCTGAGAGCGGAGATGAGAGAGGGTGAGCACGGAGTAAAAGGTGTAGTGGTGAAGGAACGGGAGGAGAGGATGAAAGAGGAGCAAGGGTGGAAGCAGAAGTTGGTACGCTTTCTTACCAGGCAATGAGCCAAGGAGGAGGTGGAACACAAGGAAGAGCGGCAGAGGGTGCTCGATGTGAGGGTAACTTCTCTGGAGGAGCTTCAAACGTGTGGGCCTGATCTGAAGAAAGCATGGCAGGTGAGTGCAGCTAGTACTCTGAATACGTGCTTTTGCCAAATAGTGTGAGTGGTCGGCTTCTGCTTGGTATTTTCCCACCATTTGTGCCCTTGTTTCCAAATCCTACGATCACTTCACCATCCAGAAAATCAGGTCAGCATCTCAAGGGATAAGTCTGGAACTGAGCAACGTCTCCTGCCTCTCAGATGCTACCCTCAACTACGTGTCAACCATGACACACCTGCAGTCAGTGAGCTTGGGTGGACTATCTGGCTGCACAGCAATCAGCATAAAGCACCTGTACAGGTTGCCACGGCTAAAAAAACTAACACTTAGTGACACTATAGTTGATATAGACCGCGCCTTGGATGGCATTGGTGTGATGAGCAGCCTTCAGACTCTCAGTCTGCTCCGCTCCAATGTGACCGACACAGGTCTGCTGCACTTAACAGGCGTCTCTTTGCTTCAGACTCTCGGTCTTCCCTTCTGCAACGCTGTCACATCTGCTGGCATGATGCATGTGAGCAAGCTGACGGGCCTTAAGAGACTTGTTTTGTATGGCACACAAGTGAAGGAGGATGATTTGCAGCGGCTGACCTCCCTCACCGAGCTGAAGCTTCTCTGGTCACCACAATACAATAATGGCCCTCGCGCTTCATTGAATTACGAGGGTCTCTGCAAATTCTTAGGCAGGGAAGGTGGGTTGGCAGGGAGGTCAAAGGGATAAGCGAGATGTTGAGAAGAACAAGGGTTGCGAGAGCAGGGCCGGTCATGTTTGTGGAGAAGATTGGAAGCGAATTGAGCACGAGGTGGTCAGCCAGTGCCCAAGGAAGTTGTGGGCAGAGTAATCTTGTACATAATTGTTAGTATCTCCTTGCCTATTCAAGCGATCCTGTCATTCAGTCAGACAAACGAAAAAGTTCGGGGCTTGCAAGCATTCTCTCCTTGGCCCAACCAACATGTCCTTTTGCTGAAGTTGACCCACAATTACAGCGCCAGTGCCTCAAGATACCTTAAGCCGGCAGTTCCCTCACCCGTCAAAAAGTCTCTCATGCTGGTATGAGAATAGGTGTGAGAATGGATGACCCAGGCGAAGAGAGTCCATTGCATGACCGGGGTATTTATGCATAAGCTGTGCCCCAGGTGTTGTAAAGTGCCATGCCCCGGGTCAAGACTTGACCACCATGAGCGATCCTTGACCGCCATGCTCTGTGTAGTGCATCCCCTCTAGTTCTGCATGTGCTGGCAGCAAACAATGAGAGAGGCGGGTCAGGGGAGGGGGTGGTGTCAGAGGTCCACTGGTGATCCCCGATCGATCCTAGGGAAGGGTTACAGGCTCGTTGTCCTGGAGGGGTATGGGCGCACTGACCCGCTACTTAACAAGCCCTTTTATCCCAATGGTCTAGTGGTTGGGATTCTGACATGGTATCAGAGCGAAGGTCTCGGGTTCGAATCCCAGTGTGTGCACATCGGGCATCCCAGTGCGGGGGGGTGTCAGAGGTCCACTGGTGATCCCCGATCGATCCTAGGGAAGGGTTACAAGCTCGTTGTCCTTGGGGGGTATGGGCGCACTGACCCGCTACTTAACAAGCCCTTTTATCCCAATGGTCTAGTGGTTGGGATTCTGACAGGTGGAAGAGCTGGGAGGGGTGGGACCGGGAGGAGAAGTTCAGGTCCAGCAAGCACTGCTGAAGGCTCAAACCTGGCTAGAATTCAGAAGCGAGAGGAGAAAGAGCGAGGACAAACGGGATGGAGGAAAGGGCAAAGGGATATGGGATGTGAAAAGCGGAAAGTAAAAGGGAACGTGAAGGGGAAAGGGGATGGGTGAGGTTATAGGTATGGAATGGGCAAATTGGGGATAGCGATTAGGTGGGAGGAGGGTGTGGTGATATCCTACATAATCTCGTGACTCCCATAAATTTGAAATTGAACAACGAATGCAGAAAAGGCTGAATGCAGAAACCAAAGAGAAAAAATGAGTGATACCAGGAGAGGGAAGGGAGTGTCATGACGATAAAAAGAGGGAACAACACAGCCTGTGAATAGTGGAACCAAACACACACACTCTACTTTGATTGCCGTTACATCTGACCTATGTTGGCATTACCTGGCAGGCAGTGAGAAATTGCAACACAGGCAGTAGCACGTGATGAGGTGGCCATGGTCCACACGCAGCCACACCTCCGCATGTTCAACCCCAATACTGCTGTCATGAACTCGCACTTGAAAATCCTTGCAAGTGACGATCATGTCCATTCAAGGCAAAAAAACCCATCAAGCTCGCCCTCAGACCAGCAGGCGGGCCCACGACTGCTGACACCATGGCCATCACGAAAAGAAAAAGGCCACTATCAAATTATATATGCTATATATGTTTAGGCTCTAGTGGGGTAGCCACGATGGGGTACAGCCCCTTTTAGGGTTTGATACTTGTACCCAACTTTTTCCTAGTTCAATCATTCCTGCTACTAGATTCTAACATGGTTTCAGAGCACTAGGTCCGTAGGACCGTCTTTTTTTTCCGGGCCCACCTACCGTTGCGGTCACCGCGCTACCCCACGTGTTGTCCTGCGCGCGCCTTCCCCTGCCTTGCCTTGTGACGTGCTGCGCTGCGCGCGCCGTCCTGCAGCCCTCGCGCTGCCTACTGTTGCCCTACCTACGCGTGCACCGCCCTGCAAACCCGTAAGGCCAGCGCGCCGCCCCTGCAAGCCCGTAAGGCCAGCGCGCCGCCCCTGCAGGCCCGTAAGGCCCGCGCGCTGCCCCTGCAGGCCCGTACGGCCCGCGCGCCGCCCCTGCAGGCCCGTCAGGCCCGCGAGCCGCCTCTGCAGGCCCGTCAGGCCAGAGCGCCGCCCCGCCCTGCAGCCGATGCGGCTCCGCCAGGCCGCTGTCGCGGCCCCGCCCTGCCGCTGACGCGGCCCCGCCCTGCCGCTGACGCGGCCCCGCCCTACCGCTGTCGCGGCCCCGCCCTGCCGCTGACGCGGCCCCGCCCTGCCGCCGACGCGGCCCCGCCAGGTCGCTGTCGCGGCCCCGCCCTGCCGCTGACGCGGCCCCGCCCTGCCGCCGACGCGGCCCCGCCCTGCCGCCGACGCGGCCCCGCCAGGTCGCTGTCGCGGCCCCGCCCTGCCGCTGACGCGGCCCCGCCCTGCCGCCGACGCGGCCCCGCCCTGCCGCCGACGCGGCCCCGCCAGGTCGCTGTCGCGGCCCCGCCCTGCCGCTGACGCGGCCCCGCCCTGCCGCTGACGCGGCCCCGCCCTGCCGCTGTCGTGGCCCCGCCCTGCCGCTCACGCGGCCCCGCCCTGCCGCTGTCGTGGCCCGCCCTGCCGCTGACGCGGCCCCGACCTGCCGCTGTCGCGGCCCCGCCCTGCCGCCGACACGGCCCCGCCCTGCAGCAGCTGCCGCGGCCCTGCCCTGCCGCTGTCGTGCGCCTACCCTGCCGCCGGCCCTGCTCGCCCTGCTCGCCCGGCGAGCGCCGGCCCTGCTCGCCCGGCGAGCGCCTGCCCTTCCCGCCACTGGTGAGCACCTGCCCTACCCGCGCTTCCCGCGCGCTTGCCTTGTTAGCGCGCTGCCGCGCCATCTGCCTGCCTGCCTGCCGCGCCTGCCCTGCCCGCGCTGTTACTG